TTAAAAGGCTTTTTGACTTCAACAATATCATCACCAATAGATATAAGCCCAGGGGAGTGATCAGAGCATAAAGGCATCAAATACTCAACTTGACTTGTAGTGTATTGATTAATCCAATCTTGATTCACCAAGGATCTGTCCAGTCTGCTCCAAACTCTTGTTCTAGCATCCTGTTTGTTACTCCATGTGAAAAAGCAGCCAGAGGTTTTAATATGATTCAGTTGACTAGATGAAATAAAACTCTGAAAATCAGCATTTCCAGCACCAGATGCCTGGACACCACCAATTCTTTCATCACCATTTAAGATAGCATTAAAATCCCCACCCACCAGCCATGGGCAAGTAACATTTCTTTTGAAGGCTAACAAATCTTCCCATAAGACTTTTCTTTCATCATTCAAATTGCGAGTATAAACTGCAGTGAGAAGGCAAGATACCTTGCCATCTTTAGATTTCAAATCACAAGTTATATATTGATCAGTAGATTTAACCACCTGGACAGATAATACATCATTGTCCCATAGAATCCATACTCTAGCATTATTTGCCACATGCTTATTAGATATCCATTTCCACTCCTTTGCAATCTTTTTACCAATAATCTGCAATTTATCATCCCTTGCAATTTTAGTTTCCAAGAGAGCAAGAAAAGAAACTTTATACTCTTGAATAAACTTTTTCACTGCCCCATGCTTAGAGGATTTATTCAATCCCCTAATGTTCCAAATAGCTAGGTGCATTTATAGAACAGTATCCCCTCTATCAGCATTAGAGGGATCTAACTCAAAGATTTGATGATCAAGAATAGAGAATTGTGAAGCTTGCATTGATGTGCCAGGTTCTCTCATGGTAAGCCTTTTTGCAGCAAGAGCTCTAGTAACATTAGTAAAGCCACTGGAATTTATAGAAGGAGAGTAAGGGAAAGCTGAACCCCCAGCTGTGCATGTTTTCCCACCCTCAGTAGAGTTTTGTGAATGATGTTTTTCAAGGAGATGTTGTATTCCATTCAGGCCATTCCCAGAATTTATTCTATGGACAGAGGGAATCTGTGCATGTTTTTCCAGCAAAGAGATGCCAGACTCAGTCTTTCCAGCACACTCTCCTCCTGCAGTAGAAGAAACCTGTGCATGATCTCCAGACAAACCATTAGTAGCAGCTGTGACTGTAGTCACACCTCCAGCAGCAGCATGAAGAGGGTTAGATTTCTTAACTGGCACCCAAGCTTTTTTTCCACCATTTTTCCTGCAATGCTGAGTATCATGACCAATAAGTTTACATATTGAACACCACCTTGGCTTGAATTCATAGAGCACATTTTGATAGTAACTTTTGCCATCAGGCCCTTGGATCTTGATTTGATCAGGTAAAGGAGCTTTTAAAGGGAGGTCAACTTCCAGTAGAACCCTTGCATAGCTCAATCTTTGCCTTGAGGCAGTAAGCTTATCAGTAGCTATAGGGCATCCAATCATACTTGCAATTTTGCTAATACCTGTGGAACTCCATAAATTCAATCTCAGATTAGGAAATTGCACCCATATGGGATATTTCTGGTCCTGTAGTTTATCAACATCCAGGTCAATTGACCATGGCTTAAGCACAAGAGGACGTGAGCCAAAGAACCAGGGACCTCCTTCAAGAATCCCCCTCATGCTGCTCTCATTTTGAAATTCAAACAGGAATACTCCTTGTTTAATCAAAAAGACTTTAGGGATGGAGATTTTTCCCCAGAGCTTAGTAACATAGGTCTCCATCGATTTGAATTTAGCATTCATCCCAATTACATGTCCAATTAGAGCATATTTCCAAAAAATTTCCCCTTCCCTCCATTCTTCTTCATTAAAGGTAACTATATTTCCCTGGGAAAAAGGATCAAAGTTTAAGGATAGACCTCTTCCAGCTTGCCTATTATCAGAGAATAAGCTAACAAAAGATTGCTTATTCCCTTGAATTTCATTTTCAAGAATTTTAATTTCCTCCTTCTCCTTTTCCAGATTCGTGTTTTTATCATGAGAGACTGCAGCAGGTTTCTTGTTAGAGTTTTCATCCAGATTAGGAAAATCAATAACTGATTTAGACTGATCTACAAAAGGAGTTCGAAGCTCATCACAGGAATCAATAATCAGATCAGAATCAACAAATTCCTCAAAATCATCAGCCCAGGATTGAGAGGATTTACTTAGCTCATGAGAGATTCTAGGATCAGATCCAAGCTGAGGAGGAACAGACAAAGAAGTCGTTCTTAAAAGAATCTCATCCATCAATACCTTCTTCTTAGCCCCCTTTGGTCCAGTGCTATCCATTTCTTGAGGGAGAGGATTCACTGTTACATCCGATTCAACATCAAAAGAGAATCCAGCAGAACTTGCAGAGATCCCAGATGATGAAGGATAAGAGAACAGTGAATCACGGAGCTCCTTGTTGATAGATACCTTGCTAGCACTCTTCTTCTTCCTAGATCTCTCCATTGAAATCTCGGCGGTGGCGCAAGTTAGCAGGGAGATTTGCCATAACTATTACCTCCAAGTAAACTAACATGGTCAAAGTCACACTAAAAAATAAAATTTGAAGTGAGTAATAAAGTTCCTTCACATTTTTTTCAACAACTTCCTCAACTTCCAATTCCAGAATTCAAAATCAAAACCAAACTTAAAGTTGCATACACAATTTCTAACCAAAATTTTTTCCGAACAGTTAATTCAAACTCTTGCAGTTCTCCATAGTTCTTCACCTCTAAGCAAAATAAAATCTTCAAAAGCTAGAATTTTCAAAGTAAAAAAAATAAGCTGATTTACACAATATCTTCACCAAAAAAACTATATTTTCAAAAGAATTCTTCAAACTTTCATATTCACCCTAGTTCTTCACCTCTAAACAAAATAAATCCATCAAAATCCACAAAATGTCAGAACTTCACTTATTAATAATATTTAAATCTCCACATTGATCACATTTCAAAAATCCTACATTTTAACATTAAACATGATTGTATCGAACACATTAATTCTTGCTTTCGAGTCTGAAATTAGCATCTCAATATTGCATCAAAGGAATACCTTGTAAATATTGCGACAAAATTTACCAATTTTGTCTACAAGTGCAGATATTTTGGAGGTTAGATAAAAAAAAAAAAGAATAAAACTAACATAGAAGAAATTAAGCAAGCATAACAGAAACTAAACACACAAGAAGAAAAAACTCCACATTCAGATCAGTAATAGGTCAGAACCAAAATAGATCGGAACCTAAGTAGATCATCGTAAGTGAAGTACATCAACAACCAACCTCAATTAAGCGTGAACTCCAAAAGCGTCGTCTTTGCTCCATCAAAACTGAAGCACTACGCTATTTATAGAGGCAGGTTCGGCCAGGGGTGGAGAAACAGAACAATCCGAAGAATCAGGGAGGAAGAGGCGGAGGGGGCGGAGTTCGAGAAACTGAAGAATCAGACATGGGAGAAACGGAAAAATCGGAGATGAAGAGGCGGAGGTGGGCGGGTGGGTGGAGCGGGAGAGGATA